TAAATATTAATAAATGCTGATAATATATGCTAGTATCTATCCAAAGTTAATAAAATTTTCAAAAATTTTAGTAACAGTAGTGAGAGTATAAGTCTTTGAATGTTAACTGAGTTATATGCTTTGATCATGTCTAAGCTTAGGATCCATACTTGTTTGTTGTTTTGTACTGCGTCATCTTGTACTGTTCTGAGAATTTGGATTGGTTCTTGTATGCTGCAACCAGGAAGGGCTGCCCAATTGTGTGGTAAGATTATGTTGTGTTGGATTAGAGTTTGTGCTAGTCTGTCTGCTATGATTTTTGTGAAGACTTTCCTGGTTGTATATAAAAGCATAATTGGTCTGGTGATGTTGATGTCATTCTTTTATGGTTTTGGTTTAGGTATGGGGTATATGTTACCTATTTTCCATTCGTGTGGTAGGTTTTCTTGATGTAGTATATCGTTCATAAGCTCTGTGAGGTAATTGAGTGTTTCTTTGCTTAATTTCTTGAGTGCTATGTATGGTATGCCCATGGGGCCTGGGGCTGTTTTTGATGATCTGTTTTTGAGAGTTTGTTGAATTTCTTCTGTGGAGATTGGTTGTGTCGTGATGTCATACCATTCTGTATGTATGTGTTTGATTGGTTTGTATTCTTTTCTCCATCTTGTATTGTCTAATGGTTGTGTGTCACATTTTTTTGTCCATTGTTCGAAATGTGTTCTAACTGTGCTTTTTATTGTGTCAGGATCATTGATGACTTGCTCGTCTGGCTTGTGTGTGATAATTTTATTCAAATGAATAGTTCTCCTGGGGTTATCTAATAAATTTCGAATCATCTGTTTCTTGTTTGTACTGAATTACTGTTTCTGTTTTGTATTCGTTCTCTAATAGTTTCTAAGTGTTGGTTGTTGCAGATTGATCTGAGAATTTGTTTGTGATTCGTAAGGTGCTTGTTGAGTGTGAGTTTCCAATTTTGGATTGTCTCCTTGTCTTGTATGTCAGTTGGCAGGATGATTGTGAGGTTTTGTTTATTTGAGAGTTGGTTGAGTATTTTTTTTGTTTTGACAAAAAAAGTTTCTGATGTGATGTCTTGTTTTTCCCATTTGTTAGTGAGGTTTTTGAGTTTGAATATTTTTCTGACCACATATGTTGATGGTGTCGTGGGCTAACCGGTGAGTCTGTCACCAAAGATAGCTAAACTTTGCATAACGTGGGTTTAAACTCTTGAGGTGTGTCACAATTTGACTGATCTGGTTTCGCTTCCTAATTTTATACCGAACGTCCTATACTGGAACTCTTGTAGTTACTAGAATTTTCCCAATTTTTCTAGCTGAACTCTGGTTTGTATAATCACGTAAGCAAGGTATGGACGTGAAAACAATCGATAGAAATAGTAAACATGAATGAGAGTTTAAATGCTTCGAGTCGGATTTTTCAGTAAATGCTACCTAAAGTCTGCTTCGCTTTATTTCGCTTATTCGATGGTCATATTTATACATGCTAGTTTGTTTACATGCTAATTGCTTTGCGCCACACGATTACATAAGGCATTCTACTCTAATTTTCCCACCACTACTTTTCCACCAATTCTACCATAAACATACCATTTACGCGACACAACACGTACTGTGTCATTGTACCCCACTTTTTACTCATGACATTCCCCCACGCTTATCTTATGTGTACCACGTATAAGGTCAAACCTTCATTCTGATTTATAATATTTTTTTAGGATCTTTGCATTTATGGGATTAGCGATTACTCGACCATCCATAGTGCGCAACTTATAAGTGTCTCCTAGTAACTTATCATGGATATAGTAGGGACCTCGCCATTTTGATTCAAATTTGTTGCTTTTGGAATGCTCCAGAGCGGCATGGTACATCAATACCTTATCACCGATCTCAAATACTTGGGTTAATCTTTGATGAGTATCATAGTACCTTTTTTGTTTTTCTTGTGTTTGCCGAATCTGCTTAACCGCTTTTTCCCTATCCTTAGGTAACTGGTTTATTAAGTCAAACATCCTCTGTAAGAATGTTCCTTCCAACAGCTCTCCTTCAGTTCAACTTGGATGAATCAGTTGTCGAGCCTCATGACCATAGACTAGATAAAATGGTGACATTTTAGTTGAGGCTTGCTTGGCAGTCCTGTATGCAAAAAGAATAGATGGAATTAAGAGATTCCAATCAGTTACATTCCGTACGAGTTTGGCAATAGATTCACATAAGGTTTGATTGAATCGTTCCGTTAAACCGTTTGTTTGTGGATAATAGGGTGACGATAGTTTGTGTTCTATTCCCATTCTATTGACCAGTTCTTTTATTACACTATTGTTGAAGTGTGTTTCTCGATTAGAGAGTATACGCTCAGGGCACCCATGACGACAGATAATTTTATCATATAAAAAGTTCACTACAGTTGCTGCATCTGTATGTTTGACAGCCACTGCTTCGGGCCACTTTGTCATATAGTTTACAGCAACAAGAATATATCTATTTCATCGTGGTGTACTGGGGAGGGGCCTCACAAAGTCAATTTCAATTTGGCCAAATGGTGTTGTAACAGGTATTGACTGTAATGGTCCTGGAGTGAGCGATTTCCCACAGCACCAACATTGATTGCATTGTTGTATATATGCTCGGATATCAGCATACATTTGCAGCCAATAATAAATATTCCGAATTTTGTTGAACATAGCATCCTTGTTCAAGTGTCCACCCAATGGGTGTTTATGCATGAAATATAGAACAGGTTCCACTTCATGATGTTGAATTACATGCAACAGGTGTCCCTTTTTCTTCTTATTCTTCTTATACAGGATCCCCTCCTTAAACAGGTAGCTTTTACTCTTCTTCTGTATTCACCGTTTTTCCTCTAGTTCCATATCCGCTGGCAAACTGTGGTTCCGTAGGTAGTTCCTTAGGTAGCTAAAGTGTGTTGGGTCCATCTTAAACAGATACGTAGGAAAAAAATGACATAAAAATAAAAATAAAAATAAAAAAAAAAAGGAATAACAAAAAGGAAATAGTGAAACGATGATAATAATAACGCAAAATCAAGAAAAGACGAATGATAGAAAGGGTAGCAGAATAAAGGTAATAACAGAATGAGAATGTAAATAAAGGATGTCATTCGACCGATTCTTATATTTGTTTTTTTTTTTTTTTTTTTCTCAAAATTTCTAGAATGGGTCTTTAGAGGTGCGATAACGCGTCCGCGTTATTGTGCCCTTTTCTTTTCTTATGCACGATTGAGAAGTTAAATGGTTGCAGGCGTAGGATCCACCTCACGCATCTCCTGGTAAGTCGTGATGTTTGCAACCATTGTAAAGCAGCTTAGTCAGTTATGACGACGAAGGGGTTCATGCCATAGTAGTGCTGGAAATGCTCCACCACTCATACTATAGCTAAGCATTCCAGCTCAGTGGTTGTGTAGTTTCGCTCGTGTTTATTTAACCCTCGACTGGCATAGGCTATCAGTACTCCTTGCCGTCCTCATTCTGTTGTGACAGAATCGCTCCCAATTCTGATCCAGATACATCGGTATGCAGATAAAACATCCTGGAATAATCTGGGTATTTTAAGATTGGTGCGATAATCAGGTGTCGTTTCAGGATTTCGAATGCGTAGTTCTGCTCAGTCTCTCATTTGAATTTAATATTTTTTTCCAGCAGGTGATATAGTGGTCGCACGATTGTAGAAAATCTCTTAATGAATCATCGGTAATATGACGCCAAACCGATGAACCCTCGTAACTGTTGCAAATTCTTTGGGATGGGGAAGTTCTTGACCTTATCTATCTTTGCTTCATCAGGTCGAATTCCATTTCGCCCAACCATGTGATCCAAAAATTCAATATTCGAATGGAATAATGTACATTTCGCAGGGTTTAGCTTTAATCCAGCTTTCCTTATTTCGCTTATGACGAGACTAATGTGACTTAGATGTTCCTTGAATGTCTTGGAGTAAATAGTTACGTCATCCAAATAAACGACCATGAATTTTCCAATAGACTCATGCAAGAGGGTGTTCATTAACCGCTGAAATGTCATGGGAGCATTACACAATCCGAATGGCATGATGTTAAATTCGTATGTCCCCCAAGCTGTCACAAATGCCATCTTTTTTTTGTCTTCTTCCTTCATCGTTACCTGCCAGTAACCTGATAACAGGTCTATGGCACCGAACCATCTGGCATTAACGAAGGCCTCAATTAGATCATCGACTCGTGGTAAGGGGTACACGTCTTTTTTAGTGACTGCATTCAATCTTCGATAGTCTATACACAACTGTAGTTTTCCATCTTTCTTCGGTACTACGATTATAGGTGAGGACCACGGGCTTCTCGATTCACGAACTAATCCCCTCTCTTTTAACTGTGCTATTTCTTGCTTGATAAACTCCTTCACATCTGGTGCGGCTCTGTAGGCATTTTGCTTGATTGGAGTTGCATCACCAGTATCAATGGTGTGCTATACTGCCTCAGTACTTCCTAACTCCTGCATGGTTCGCGCAAAAACATCTTGCTCCTTTATCAATGCCCTTTTTGCCTACTCTATTTGTTCTTCCTCTAATTTTTTATCAAACTCCATTTCTCTTATCTTATCTTCTACGGTCTCTTCCTCTTTTTGATCTTCCTCAGTTTTAGTAAGGAACTTCTCCACCTGAGATAAGTACACTGCAGGTCCCGGTAGGTCTAATTCTTGTTCACCCTGGGCGTTCGTTTCATTAAATGCTCCCTCCATGTAGTATCCTTCCCTCTCGTCCATCTCCTTATCCTTATAGATTATTTCGTCCCATATTTTATCCTCATCACCTGACTCCTCAACCTCTCCGGTCCCACTAAGTATAACTTTTTTAGTAGCATCATTTGAGATTGGCACTTTTAACACTCTGCCCTCATGGTTGATTACCAACTTTTGTTCATTGTAATATATCCTGGCCCTCAATCTCTCAAACCAATCATTCCCCAGGAGAAAGGTCTCATCCTTAAAGTCAACTACCTGCAGCAAAGTGGGGATCAAAACACCTTGAATTTCTACTTTCAAGCTCCTAATATTATCTAATGTTCTTGTCCTTATTCCCGTGATAGTCACTATCTTCATTACAGATTTTTCCTCTATCCTAAGGCTCAATCGGTCCGCTAACTTCTTCATAATGAAGCTCACAGCAGCTCCCATATCGACGATGGTGGTAATCGGGGTTTTGTTAACTTGTATCTGGCATTTCATTGCAGTTGTCTTCTTTTCGCTTGTATTAACGTAGTTCGTCTCTTCCTCTGGTGGCATCCTCCAAAGGACCTTTGCTAATAGCTTTCTTTGGTTAGGGTATTGTAGGAGTTGTCCGATCATAGCACTTGCGGGTTTTGACAAGATATCATTGACAATGTTGTAGGGAGATGCCTGCTCCACTACTGATGGCCCTTGTTTCCTGCGTGGTTTTCTCTGAGGGGGTACCTCCCTTATTTCTTCGTCCTCGTTGATTATAGGTATGTCATCGTTGTCATCGCTGTGATTCGGTTTTGATTCTCTGAGTTTAGGTTTACTCCTCAAGTGTCTCTCCCATGTTGATTCCGAATTCGGTACATCCTTCCTCTTTTTCTTACTCACCTCCATGTTGGTTAATTGCTCTTGTCCCAAGGTGTAGACTTCTCCCTCTCGTTTATCATCATTACTCTCCTCCACAATTTCGAAATATTGTTCTTCGCCAGTTTGTTGAACCTTTTTTGAAGTATTTTCTTTCTTCGGGCAGTTTCTAGCACGATGCCCCTTTTCGTCACATTCGAAACACTCTCAGTCATTCCCTTCTGTTAGTGTCTTAGGTCTTCTCGTATTGTACTCTCTGGTGACATTAGGCTTGCCATAATTTATTCTCAGTTCCCGGAGTTGCTGGTTCAATTCCCAGATCTTGTCCTCTAGTCTTCTCATTTTTCTTGGTTCTTCCTCCCTATCGTATAGCCCATATTTTTCATTTGCCTCCACTCGTTTCGCCTCTTTAATTATTTCCTCTAGCGTAGTGTGATGCTCGACGGTAATTGACATCGCAATCCTCCTTCTTAGTCCTCCCACGAAAAACCTGACCCTACTTCTCCTTGGTATGTCGTCATTGAGGTCAGCCCTCCTTAGTAGCTTCCGGAATCGCTGGGCGTAGGTAACCACTCTCTCTCCACTCTTTTGCTTTATGTTAATTAGTTCCGTGTACCATCAACGTCATTGTTTGGGCATTACGAAATACTGTAAAAAATTTGGAACGAAGCTTCCTTCGCGGTCATTCTCATCATTCCATTGTGTAATTTGATCCTGTTGATCTTTAAACCAGTCTGCCACGTGACCTTCCAAGTGGCTTGCGACTAACTTTAATTTCTTGTTATTTGACCAGTTATTCGTTTTGGCAACCCTTTCATATGACTCCAATCACGAGTATGGATTCTCCTCTTCTCCTCCTCCGAATTCCCACGCTTTAACTTATTGAATCTCTTTTTTCTCATTTTCTTCCAACCTAACTTTTTGATTTTCTAGGTTGCTGAGAACTCTCATCAAATCTCGTAGTACGTCTCGCGGTCGATGGTGGGTTTGTGGGGTGTCTTCATCCAAATCACTCCCATTGTCACGATAATCTGGCTCTAGTGACATCTCCTTTTTCTATCTGGTCACGAGTTGGTCACATTTCCTCTGGAAATGGTAAGTGTTTTAGTTGCATTTGTTTGTTAATTATGATCAGCGTTTAATTAATGTTTGTGTATTTTTATTGGGGGGGTAAACGAACGATGTTTGAATCTCACGGTCTACCATCAAATGTCATGGGCTAACCGGTGTGTCTGTCGCCAAAGATAGGTAAACTTCACGTAACATGGGTTTAAACTCTTGAGGCATGTCACGATTTGACCGATCTGGTTTCGCTTCCTAACTTTATACCGAACATCCTATACTGGAACTCTTGTAGTTGCTAGAATTTTCCCAATCTTTCTAGCCGAACTCTGGTTTGTATAGTCATGTGA